GCTTTCAGCATGTTAAACAGGACAGCTACACGTTACTCCAATCAAACATGCTGATGGGATCACATTGGTCAGTGAGTGATTAATAGTTAAAGCTGATTTAATTACGTTAGGCATGTTGCTGTACGTACACGACGCGGATTTGTGTGAGCTCGTCTGCTGTGACTTGATATGTGGAATTGTTGCAGGCGGGTGGTGCTATTAGGCCAGTCGATCTTATGCACAAAAAAAGGCCCAAACCCAGGAAAAATTGCAATTGCAAGTTTTTGTTCCATTAGGGTCATCTAGTGAGATCTTAAAAAAATTCAATTTTTATACATTTGGTGGAACATTGCGAATTTTTAGGTTAAATTTTCAATTTTTTAGCTTATTTTTCATTAAATCATAAAATCTTCTAATGGTCATAACTTGATCAATATTGAAAGTTGACCAATAAAAAATACCACCTTAACCCAGGTTTTTATGGTTCAATTTTTCATAAGAACCATTTTTAATTAACTGATCTAGCCCCTTATACCATTTCGGGGTATCAAGGTAGAATTGATTGAGTGGCGTAGCGTGATCACGGTGATCTTGATATGATGAATGATAACAATTATCACCGCATCACAGGCAACAATCTATATATTTGCGGTCATATAATTACTCGATAAAGATTTGTCTTGTTAGAGCCCTAAACAATGGATGCCCTAATATCATTTCATTAGAATGTCTCATGTAGGTTAATCATATCTTCGAAAGACGAGAGAGCTAGCTTACATAGGCTGAGGCAGTTCTGTTTAAGTGTGTTGAATAACGACTGGTATAGATATAAACACACATGCAATGTTAGCGCGTGAACATAATATGAAAGCAAAAACACTTTCCCATCGCTCATATTACGTCCTTGCAAAAAATGTCGAACGAACAATATTTTCATAGTCACAATATGCTTTCACAGATGGGTTACGATTTCACGAGCAAATTAACTTCGGTAAAACGTCAATACAGGACGTTAATTGTAGTTCAGAATTTCCTCGCAGATTTTGTCAATACCCACCAAAACAACGGCAGCACGCGTCCGTGCGGTTTGCACGGCGAGCCCCAATAACCCCGTATTTCATACCCGTAGTAATAGAACTCGACGTTGTTCTATTATGTATTGTTTGTGACGTGGTTCTATTATGTATTGTTTGTGACGGGGTTATATTATGTATTGTTTGTGACGTGGTTCTATTATGTATTGTTTGTAACGTTGTTCTTTTATGTATTGTCTGGTGGCGGTAGCGGGCAAGAGGAAGGTGCGAGGGCGGAGGAATCTTTACGAGGAAACGCGACTGAGAATTCGCGGACATATGTGATAGATGAAGCAATGAAATAGGTGCCGGTCAATAGAAAGCAAATCACGAGAACACGTCGTCCACGTAATCGCATCACGAAAGCTTTCCTTTCAATCAAAAATATGTGTAGATAGAAAGATCACGGTGATGCACACATGCACACACGCCGACGCGCGCTCATGCACGCACGCTAACACGGACAAAGACACGCGCGCTCATGCACGCACGCTACACGGACACAGACACGCGCGCAAACACACACGCCACGCGCGGCTCATGCACGCACGCTAACACGGACACAGCACAACGCGCGCACACACACACGCCCACCCGCTCATGCACCACACGCTAACACGAAACACAGACAACGCGCGCACACACACACGCCCACGCGCGCTCAGCACACACGCTAACACGGACACAGACACACGGCGGCCGCATGCACGCACGCGAAACACGGACACAGACACACCGCGCATGCACGCACGCTAACACGGACACAGACACGTGCGCGCGCACAACACAGCGCCACGCGCTCATGCACACACGCTAACACGAACACAGACACACGCGCGCACACACACACGCCCACGCGCGCTCATGCACACACGCTAACACGGACACAGACACACGCGCGCATGCACGCACGCTAACACGGACACAGACACACGAGCGCGCATGCACGCACGCTAACACGGACACAGACACGCGCGCGCACACACACGCCCACGCGCGCATGCACACACGCTAACACGGACACAGACACACGCGCGCGCACACGTCTACGCGCGCTCATGCACACACGCTAACACGGACACAGACACACGCGCGCGCACACGTCTACGCGGCTCATGCACACGCTAACACGCAAAGGACACACCGCGCGCGCACAGTCTCGCGCGCTTCATGCACACACGCTAACACGAACACAGACACACGCGCGCGCACACGCTAACACGGACACAGACACGCGCGCGCACGCACGCTAACACGGACACAGACACGCGCGGCACGACACACAGCCCACGCGCGCTCATGCACGCACGCTAACACGGACACAGACAGGCGCGCACGCACACACGCTAACACGGACACAGACACGCGTGCGCACACACACGCCTACGCGCGCGCTCATGCACGCACGCCTAAACACGGACACAGACAGCGCGCGCGCACGCACGCTAACACGGACACAGACCCGCGCGCATGCACGCACGCTAACCCGGACACAGACACACGCGCGCACACACGCTAACACGGACACAGACACCACGCGCCGCGCACACACGCCACACGCGCGCCCATTGCACGCACGCTAACACGAACACAGACACACGCGCGCACACACACGCCACACGCGCGCTCATGCACACACGCAACAACGGACACAGACACAGCGCGCGCACACACGCTAAACACGACACAGACACACTGGGCCGCCACACGCCCACGCGCGTCATGCACGCACGCTAACACGAACACAGACACACGCGCGCGCACAGCACGCCACGCGCGCTCATGCACGCACGCTAACACGAACACAGACACGCGCGCTCATGCACCGCACCGCCCACGACGCGCTCATGACACGCACGCTAACACGGACACAGACACACGGCGCGCGCAACACACCCCACGCGCCGCTCATGCACGCACGCAAACACGACACAGACACAGCGCGCGCACCACGCCCACGCGCGCTCATGCACGCACGCTAACACGGACAAAGACACACTGGCGCGCACACACACGCCCACGCGCGCTCATGCACGCACGCTAACACGAACACAGACATTACGCGCGCACACACACGCCACGCGCGCTCGATCGCGCACACTAACACGGACACAGACACGCGGGCGCACACACCACGCCTACTCGCGCGCACGCCGCACACGCCAACACGGACACACGCACGCACGCTAACACGAACACAGACACGCGCGCTCATGCACGCACGCCCACGCGCGCTCATGCAACGCACAGCTAACACGCGACCAGACACAACGCGCGCGCACACACGCCACGCGCGCTCATGCACGCACGCTAACACGGACACAGACACACGCGCGCGCACACACGCCCACGCGCGCTCATGCACGCACGCTAACACGGACAAAGACACACGCGCGCACACACACGCCCACGCCGCCTCATGTACGCACGCTAACACGAACACAGACATACGCGCGCACACACACGCCCGCACGCGCGCTCATGCCACACTAACACGGACACAACACGCGCGCACACACACGCCTACTCGCGCGCACGCAGCACACGCCAACACGGACACACGCAGCGCACACGCGCGCACACGATCCCCCACCGCATGAACACGCACATTCACATACATACGCGCGCACGCTAACACCAACGTGCGCATGCGCGCACACTAACACGTGCCCAAACACGCACATGCACGCACACTAATACGTGCACGCACACGCACGGGCACGCACGCACACACACACACACACACACACACACACACACAAACGTAATCACATTACTATATAGACACAGCTGTAGATGTGTGTGTGTGTGTGTGTGTGTTGACGTGATTGATGTTGATGCCTCCAGGGTCGTACGGAATCGTCGAGGCTGGCTATATACGAGAAGGATGACAAGGCATACGCGATGAAGATTCTGTCTCGAAGAAGAAACTTCATCAAGAAAGGTCGAATGCGAAGTAAGTTATATAACGAGAGAAATACGGTTATACATCCCAAGTGGCCTACTCCCATTTCGGCCTACACCCATTTCGCCTACTCCCATTTCGCCTACACCCATTTCGCCTACTCCCATTTCGCCTACACCCATTTCGCCTACGTCCCATTTCGCCTACACCCATTTCGCCTACACCCATTTCGCCTACGTCCCATTTCGTCTACTCTCAGAATTGGAAATATTCCCATTTCGTCTACCATTTTCCAATTCCCATTTTCTATTTTTGTCAAGTTGTGTTCTCATTATTTGTACCTTTGTTTTCTTCTGGTTCCTGTAGTCTATGTATGTCACTCAAAACCTTATTTTATTATTTATAAATCATTATTTAGTGAACAAACCGATCGTAGACGAAATGGGAATGGAGTCGATTTTGAACGTATAGACGAATTGGGAGTAGGCGAAATGGGTGTAAGCCAACTGGGAATTTTGCTGTAGGCGAAATGGGAATTTTGCCGTAGACGAAATGGGAGTTTTGCCGTAGGCGAAACGGGAGTAGGCCAACCGGGAATAAACCAAAAATACACAGGATGGCTGTTTCTTATCGGTATTGTTTTTCAGCACAGTTTTATACATAATGTCAGGGGGTTGAGTAATGACAAATTTATCATTATTCAACCCATTGATAATGTGCAGTCGTCCGGTAATCACATGGAAATGCACTCCGGTCGCGTTTCAAAAGCTACTGCACGCTTTGCAGATAAACCCCAAGCACTCTAAAAGCCACTACGGATTGTAAAGTCAATGTTTATTGTGGTAATAAAGAGTCTACAACACATAAAAATATATATTATATACTCGACACAAACAGTATAGATATACATCGTGGGCGAGGGGTATACCACCCCGCGTGTGTACGAGGTCTCGATACACATATGGTCATATACAATCATACATAAACCTGTTGTTCTCTGTCTGCCCTCGCCCCAGTAACACTCGTCGTTTTCGCGTGCCTAGTGAAGGGACCACCGAGGGAGAAAGGGAGGGCACCGGTGACCAACCCGCTGGAGAGAGTGTACAGAGAGATCGCGATACTAAAGAAGCTGAACCATCCAAACGTGGTCAGGCTGGTGGAGGTATGCATGGTTTATTAATATGGATTAATATTAATATATTATATCAAGAGCGTATATGCGTACTTAACACGCGCTTGATTATATTTATATATAATTCTACTTTATTGTCAGCATCATGGGGAGGAAGGGAGGGAGGAAGGGAGAGAGGAGGGGATGGAGGGAGGGAGAGAGAAAGTGAGGAAGGGAGGGAGGAAGGGAGGGACAGAGAAAGTGGGTAAGGGAGGAAGGGAGGGACAGAGAAAGTGAGTAAGGGAGGAGGATAGGATGGATGTGAGAGAGGGAAAGAGGGCGGAAGGGGATTGAGGAGGGAGAGAGGACGTGCAAGGTGGCGAGGGAGCGAGAGGATGGGAATCGTAGGGAGGTGAGAGGAGGAGGCGAGAGGGGCATGGAGGGAGGGAGGAAGGAGTTGAGGGAGGGAGGAGGCGCTGAGAGGGAAGAAGAATGGGGCAGGACGGGGGAGGGGGGGGGGAGGGGCATGTTATCGTCGCCGTTATATACCCAGCTGGCTTTCCTATTGTGCTGCGGGCTACACCACACACCGCAGGAGGCGTGCATGTGGGAAGTATATAGGGGGCGCTAGGTGACGAGGTGTAGACAAAGGGTGGGCCGTGGTACGATAAGGTTTGGGAACTAGTGCAAGTGGGGTTCGTGGTCGCTGGTGTCTAGATCGTGGGTGTGCGGCAGGTGGCGCTGCCTGCATGGCTCGCCACTTCGCATCGTGCAGGCTGCTGAGGAGCGAATAGCAGGTAGGGCTGTATGTGTAAATAAACACACGATCATGCCGACGTGATCGAGTAACGGTGATGAATGAGTTTGATGGGCGTGATTCGTCGTCGCTTATATTTTAATTCTCTTCCTTCAAAAATAACAAAAAATAATGATAAGAGGAAGAAAAAATAAACATAATAATATGAATTTATATATATATATATATAATATATATATATATATATTAATATATATAATAATAATTAAAGAAATCATATATAAGAGAGATAATAGCATATAGGATTATAGGATATGATACTGATCCTCCTTTTTTGCATTTTCTGTATTAGCGTCGTTGATGGATCGAAGGAAGATCATTTATTTTCTAGGTGGAGTGTAAAAAAATTAATTCGGCCTGTGGCATGCTTATCGCTGCTTGCGACAATAGCCAGTCTTACTAATTTATACGGTTTTATCAGGCTGATTATCTATCCTACCTAGCTACCATACACTCTACTGACAATCAATTTAAAACCCTCGCTCTAAAAACATCGTCGCATTTACGATAAACTGGAATATCGTGATATTCATCTGTCACATGCCTATTAGTTACGGACTAGGCTATAGGCCTCTCGCTAGTTCAAGCTAGCACTAGCGCCTAGGGCTAGCGCTAGCTAGCTAGGCTAGGCTAGGCTAGGCTAGGCTAGGCTTCCGCTAGTCGGCTAGGCTAGGATATTTATAGTTGTTGCACAACCACGTGTACTGTTTTTTGTGTGCGTGTCGCTCTTTATATGGGAGATTTTCTCTAGGATATGTGCATTCACGCACGTTTCCACGACAGCTGGCGTGTTATCGATTGCATATATATAATAGGTGTTGCTAGAGACGCTCGCGTTGGCATTTCGCATAATACGAAACGGCGAGTTCGTTATTGAATTCTATAGCTTTTCCTGCGTGAGCGCCGGACAGAAAAAATTCAGCGGAGAATGGAAAGATAGATATAGCGCAGTCAGTTTCGCGTCGCGTGTGTATCACGCTCGTTTTTTGCAATCTAAACTATCCCGCTGTTCACGGGCTCTACCTATAAAGGTATATAGACGAAGCGCGAGCAATTTGCTTTTGCACTTGCAAAGGCGGTTGCAATGCAATACGATATCTAATGTTGCTGGCGAAAATTATTTCCAATTAGCGTTGCATGGGAGCGGTATATCGAGCCTATGCCTAAGATACAGCTTTGTCGTTTTCAGTGTTCGAACTTGTCGAAAGAGGGTAAGTAGCCTAAGTGTAGCTAAACACAGTTATAATATCTGGCGCTTGCACTTGGAGATGAAATAGCTGTGTTTACTATTTATGTGTAATTGTTTTTCGCAATCTTGTCTCTTCAGAAAGCTTTCCGTTGTATGTAGAACGAAAGAGGGTTCAGAATCAGAAAAAAATCTCAAAAATAAATCAGACACGGTCATTTCAGTTTTTTTAATTAACAAAATACGACTTCATCATCTGCATGCGCATTAGTATAGAATGAAGGGAAATCGCGTGTAATTTATAAAAGATTTAATACTGCATACGAGACAAAATTGGACAAGAAAATAAGATGAGTATAATGCGGTCTTACAGAGCGGTGATAGAAGTGCCAACAGATACGCCTTTATCGGAGAAAGACGCGTGGACACACTTCCGCGATGTGCTTCTAGGTCTTGAATACTGTAAGTTATAGCTAACTAACATCTACTACTATCTACTACAACCACCACTACTATCCACTACCATCCACTACTATCCACTACTATCCACTACTATCCACTACTATCCACTACCATCCACTACTATCTACTACTATCCACTACTATCTACTACTATCCACTACCATCCACTACTATC